AGTGAGGATTAAAAATAAAATTTAAAAAACCCTGCACACACATTTATTACGGCACTCATCCCATTGTATTGCAAATTGTCGATTTATTTAACTCTGCTCTCCTACCCAATTGCCCATTTTTTAAGATCAACTTTACTAAGGCATAATTAACACCTAATAAAATGTCTGTTTTAAGTGTATAGTTTGCTTAGTTTTGACAAATATGTACACCCATGTAACCACCATGACAATCAAAGGATAGATCATTTTTATCACCACAAAAGCATGTCTAATCTCCTCATTGCTCCCTTGATCACTTTAAAAATTAAAAGATACTGAGGTTTTTATAAAGACATTTACTATTCATACTTGACCATTCTATAAAGGTTTCATTATTTTCTATTATATGCAAGTATTATTTATAATTTTTAAATTAAACACTTCTATTTTAAGGGTATATTTATGATAGGTAAAATTAACCATTACATTGAAGATAAAATATTTTAATTTCAAATATATTTGACAGACTGATTTGTGCTACAAAATATTTATAAATAATTTGAAGTCAGTTACGAATATTCTTGCATAAGAAGGTAATTAAATGTGGCCAACAATAATGAAGACTCAACATTATCTAGACAACCAAATAAAATAATTTTTAAATAAGTTTAAAAAATACATTTAAAAATGTTAAGATCACACTTTATTTAAATAACTCACAGAAGAGTACAGAACTAACATTTCCAGCAGTATAGTGGACTGAATACCCTAATTAACTCTCCCACTAAAAACAACTAAAAAGTGCTTGATAAAATAAACTGATATACTGATAAGCTGACAAAAAATTAAGAAATCTTAAAAGTCAAAACCTATATGAAAGCAGAACCACAGAGATAAACACTAAAGTCATCTTCTACTTAGAGAACGTTGGCCAAAGCAAGTAAACTAAAGCTTTGTTTTTGTTAACACTTCTTTAACTTCCTACCAAAATTCTATTTGTGATTCCCTTCCGAGTCATCACTAGTAAATGGCTGCCCAGCCAGAGATTACATTTCCCTCCCTCACCTCCCTCACAGCCCTGGGAGGCAACAGAACTAATTCTCAGTGATAGAATGTGAAGTAATATAATGCATGTGACTTCTGGTTCAAGAGGGTTAAAGACTGGGTGTGTCTTCTTTCATCTCTTTCTTGCTCATTGCTAGCTAAGCACAGAAGCTTCACAGACCCCAGAGGATGGTGAAGGGGCAAGAAGTGGTCTGAGTCCCTGAATCACCATATGGAAGAAAGCTGCACTCTCATCAGGAACATCTAAATTGGACTATTACGTGGCTAAGAAATAAACATTTATTGTGTTAAGCACATACTTTTTTGTTGTGTTTGTTGCAACATTAGTGCTGTTCTACCTAATAAGGTTTTATTACTTTAAAGGACACAGGGAATGATTGACAAAGTCCAAGACTGGCTTAATAGAGATCATCTACAGGGAATACACACTGTATAAAACTAGAACGCCCAAAATGTTATTCCCTTAGCATTCAGGTGAACCAGGAATGGAATGCCCCCCATGAGGATACAAGGAAGGTTATTTATCTTGAAATATGGTGCTGAATAGGGGCAGGAATGGGGGAGTCATTTCCCCTTAGAATTAATTACCACAAGCATATCCATCAATAGGTTTCCAGCCTATATTCTCAGTGAGTGGTCTGAAAAACCAAACTAAGAATTCACTTTAAAGTGACTTCCAGTTGGTAGTGCTCCCAGAAGTAATTGCAAGTTCTCTCTGGAGAAAACTCCCTTTATTCCAAGAAAGGTGAACCCACAGTCAAAAATCGTAAAACACAAAGAAACAAAACACCGTGTGCAAGAGCCAATAGAAAGAACAGATAGTAGAATAAGACTCATAGCTATTAAAATTGCCAACCACAAAATAGAAAACTACCAAATTTAATATTGTTGAAAAACACTCCTCCATGAGCCTCCCTTATTCCTACCTGTCTTGCTTTGTATGCCAAAAAATCAAGGCCTGGATTATCTTTTTCAGGCCTGCGTTTGTAGCAAGTAACCTTGAAGAATAAGGTAACGTCTCCCACTAGGACAAAGTGCAACCTTGCTTACTGTATACTACAACCTGGCAAATTTCCCAAGGTCAGTGATCCTCTCCTGCGCAAGCAGCTATCTATGTCATTCCTGTAGGAATTGGGACATAGGGAACCAAAACAAACATGTTGACACTCTGGCTACTGCTTCTTCTGTGAGGGATAAAGTCTTCTGTGTCTGAAACAAGAGCCTCATGTCTTCTATCAGCATCTACACAACCGTAGCAAGCTAACTTTCAACTAGCATAAAATCTCAGACCCTTAACAGTTCTTGACAGCCTTAAAAAAAAAATAAAAACATGAATAGAAAGGAGTAAAACAACTACTAGATGATTTAAAAAGAAAACAGAACTGCCCTGGCCAGTTTGGCTCAGCGGTTAGAGCGTCGGCCTGCGGTCTGGAGAGACCCGGGTTCGGTTCCCGCTAAGGGCACGTACTTCGGTTGCAGTTTGTCCCCGGCCCTGGTTGGTTGTGCGGGTGGCAGCCACTCGATGTGTCCCTTCACGTCGATGTTTCTCTCTCTCTCTCCCTCCACTCTATCTGTACAAAAAATGGAAAAATATCCTCAGGTGAGGATAAAAAAAAAAAAAAAAAAAAAAAAAAAACAAAGAAAACAGAACTTCTAGAAGTAAATAATATAACTGAAATTTAAGACTCATTGGCTGAGCCTGGCTGATGAGGCTCAGTGGATTAAGCATCATCTCATTGACTGAGAGCTCCCAGTTTGATTCCTGGTAAGGGCACATGCTCAGGTTGCAGGCTCAATCCCCAACAGGGGACATGCAGGGAGCAGCTGATTGATGTTTCTCTCTCACACTGATGTTTCTATTTCTCTCTCCCTTCCTATTTCTCTAAAAAAATCAATGAGAACATTTTTTTAAAAAAAAGACTCATTGGTTGAGTTAAAGGGCAGATTAGATACAACTGAGGGGAGCATTCATGAATAAGAAGATGTATCTAAATTTTATCAAAATGCAACAGAGAGGAAAAAGCTATAATAATTCCGAAAAAGAATTTAAAGGATATGAGCAAAAAGTGAGAAAAGCAAACATAAATCTTGTTGGAGTTACAGAAGGAAAATAAAGCAAAAGTAATTATTTGAAAAGATCACAGAAATGTTTCCAGACCAATGAAAGATGCCAATCCATATATTTGGGAGGACCTATAAATTCTAAGAGTTTAAATAAAAAGAAATCCACACCTAAACACAAAAGACTAAAACTATAAGATAGCAAAAATGTAGAGAACTAAATAGTTAGAGAGAAAAGGCATTATCTTTAATGGAAAAAAATTAGACTTTTGCCCAGCCAGTGTGGCTCAATGGTTGAATATCGACCTATGCACCAAGAGGTCACTAGTTTGATTCCTGGTCAGGGCATGTGCCCAGGTTGTGGGCCGAATCTCCGGTGGGGGCCATGCAGGAAGCAGCCAATATTTTCTCTCTCATTGATGTTTCTATCTCTCTCTCCCTCTCCTTTACTCTCTCTCTCTAAAAAAATCAATAAAGAAAAAAAAATGTTTTTATTAGACTTTCAATTAATTAACAACAGAAACAGTGGAAGGCAGAGGACAATGGAATTCTATACTCATATAAACTATCATTCTAAGAGTAGACTCAAAATAAAGGCATTTTCAAACAAAAAAAAGAAAAGACTTGTGCTACAGTTAGAGCCTTAGAAAAGTAAATTCTAAAGGAAAAAGAAAAATTATCTAAGATGAAGTTGAAATGCAGAAAGAACTGATGAGCAAAGAATGAGATTCTATTTTATACCAACTAGATTGGAAAAATTAAGAAATCTGACAATTCCAAAGTTGACAAGAATGTGGAATAGAGAAAAATACACACTGCTGATGGGAGTGTAAATTGGTAGCACTTTGGAAAACAATATGGCAATAACTTGTAAAACATAACTTGTACATACACAACTCAAAAACGATCTAATAGGTATTAAACTAGAAAACTCTAACACACGGAACATCCTTATAATGGAGCACAAGACACATATAAATATGTTCATTGTTTATAATGGCAAAAAAAAAAACAACAACCTGTAAATAATTGACATGTCCATTAACATAACAATGAATAAATAAATCATGGTATAGCCACAGTGAAAATTCATGAATTACTACTATATACATTAATGTGGCGGAATCTTAAAAATCTTAGAAACATGTTAAGTAAAAAAGTGAGATTTGGACTTAAACACAAGTGCTGTGAGGACTTGGTATAAAGATTTCTCATGGCAGCATTTCTCTTTATGAAACATGTAGAAGAGGAACATGTGACTGAGCTTGGCAGTGATCCCCTCTCTCCCAAGCTTTGCATCTGGAGCAGAGACATGTGACAATGAGGAGAGGGTGGGAAGCCACTTGGAATTCATACCAGGAGCCGTGCCCTGAGGAGCTCCTACTGACTTGGTTCCTGTCCTATTTCCAAGCCCAGTTTTCCCAACTACTCATTAATTCTGTGAGCCTCCCACCATCCTCCAATAATTCCCCATCTTCTATAAATTAGTCAGAGTCCATATCTGTTGCTTGCAACCAAAGAGCCCTAACTGATAAGCATAGCTGTCAAACAAAGAATTTATATAATTCTACTTGTTATAATCGATCCTTAGTAATCAACTTTGTCCCCATGGCTTGATTTCCCAGTGAGGCTCGGTAGGGTTCTACAAGGAGAATGTCCACTTGTAAATCTCAAGGCCTAACTTTCAGTCTAGCTCCTTTGGCCGAATCCCCGTGGAGTTATGAATGCCCAACAGATATAACCCTGACTTACTGTTCTCTAGTCATGATAGTGTCTATGGCCCCCAAATAAAAATTTTCCAAGGTGGCCCGTGTTTCTGGCTACACTAAGAATTATGGTCTCAAGCATAAGAAAATCCATCATTGCACTAATTGTGTCATTTAGGGTTGTCTTACCTCCTCTGTCTTTAAAGCTTCCCATATTCGAGCATGATCCTCCTCCAGCCAGTGTCCTGTGCTTTCCGCCTTGGTGGGAGGTCTGAATTTAGAAACCACGTGAGTAGGCTCTCCCACAGGTTTCCCCTCCATCTTGACAGAGCCAGGCAGGCGGCATTACGGACCTACATGGAAGAATAAAGTGTGATCCAGGTTAAAACATTAAGTAAAAAGCATAAAAAGAGATATGAAAGCAAATTATCATGCTTGATTTGTGAATAATGAGACCATTGAAGACAATATCACAAAAGCATCAATACTTATGGCTACTTTCTAAATAAATAAATTTTTATCCTCATCCAGGACATTATTGCATGTATCTTCAGATAGAGCGGGAGGGAGAGAGGGAGGAAGAGAGAGAGAGGGGAACATCGACGGAGAGGGACACATCGAGTGGCTGCCACCCACACGACCCCAACCGGGGCCAGGGACAAACTGCAACTGAGGTACATGCCCTTAGCGGGAACCGAATCCGGGTCTCTCTGGTCCATGGGCTGATGCTCTAACTGCTGAGCCAAACCGGCCAGGGCCACTTTTTATATTTTAAATATTTGTTATTGGTATTTTAACACGGGCTTCTGGAGGTAGAGAGGCATCTTGATGACGGATGAAGTGACATAACTTTTAAAGCAAAGTGAACAGCATGCTCTGCTCGTCCCTTTGCTCTGGCTCTGCGGAGGCGAGATGGGAGTGTGGGTGCGAGGCGAGCCCGAGTGGTGTCTCCATATTTCCACGCCATGCGCTGCGTGTGGGAGCAGGGCTATGGCCCAAACCACTACTGCACACTTGTTTATACGAGGCTCCGTGCTGGGCACACACAGATAATTTGGCAGTTTGGATCTTGGCTGTAAGAAGCTCAGTGTCACAAGGCAGAAAGGGCTGTAAACAAGTCATTGCAGTATAGAGTATTACATTACAGTGGGCGACAATGATGACATTTCCCAACTGCAATGGAAGCACAGAGAAAGATTCTCTTCGATGTTTATTGGTTGCGTTACTTTCCTGAGCTCGTTTCACCAGCAGTTGCCGTAAAGACATTACTTAAAAATTTATACCTATTCTATAAAGTCTGCTTCCTTGATATCTTTCCATCTGCCATTGGCTTATTCAGAATCACATCATGCCTGCTCAGCACCATACTGTCCTAAGAAATCCCCTTGAATCTACCCTTCTCAGGGTAATTTTTCTAAAAAGCAAATCTAATGTGATGTTCCACTTACCTGAGACTTTCCCCAGAGAATAAAACCCAAACTCCTTAATGCGCCATCCAAAGCCCTTTGTGTCTGCCTTCTCCACCTCCCTTCGCCCAGCCCGCCCTCCTGCCTTCTCGGCCACTGCGTTTCTGCCGCGTTTCTGCCGCTTGAAAGTACTTAAGGGGCTCAAATATATCCGGTCCCTTTGCCTTTGTTTGTGACACCTCCCCTCCACCGACTCCAAGAAAATAGAGACACTCCTTTGTTCATCTCGATGTACACTCTGGACACATTTCCATCGTGCCGCCTACAGCACGTGGTCATATTTATTTGCTATCAACCCTATTTCCATCTTCTGGTCTTCCAAGCATCTTGACACTAGACACGGTGTCATATACAGGGTAAGTACTAATAAATGTGTGATGAACTGGTTACTTCGGTAAACAGTGAGAATCCAGTGAAGATGAGGCAGCAGATCGAATACGTTCAGGTAACAGATGTGAAAGTCAAGTCGCCTCTTCTCTTTAACGTTTTTACTGACTTAGTGGGCTGTAAGCTCTTCTCCAGGGCCAGGTCTAACATCCATCACACACTCCTACACAGCTGGCACTGCAAGCTGCCACTGCTCACTAGTCAACAGAGGCGTTTCCGTGGACATGTCCTCAAGGAGTTAGGTGTGTCTACAAAAAAGCAGGTCTTCTGCACACTGATAGGCAGGCAGGGTTGGTAAGTCGGAGGATTGAGAAAGGGGCCTTCTGCCGCAGGTCACTTCTCTGCCTCGCGTTTCATCTGTGAGGCGCAGAGAACACGCCGTGTTCTTGCAGAGGGCGGTGGGAAGCGGCCGTGTGCTTGCAGAGGGCGGTGGGAAGCGGCCGTGTGCTTGCAGAGGGCGGTGGGAAGCGGCAGTGTGCTTGTAGAGGGCAGGGGGAAGCGGGCCGTGTGCTTGCAGAGGGCAGGGGGAAGCGGGCCGTGTGCTTGCAGAGGGCAGGGGGAAGCGGGGCGTGTGCTTGCAGAGGGCAGGGGGAAGAAGCCGTGTGCTTGCAGAGGGCGGTGGGAAGCGGCCGTGTGCTTGTAGAGGGCGGTAGGAAGCTGCTCGCCAGAACCAGTGCACAGCACGAAGAAAGCTGGAGCATTTCACACACTCCCACTAGGAACCAGCAAACAGAACCCTTATAATTGATGGACAGAGTTCTTCCGAGTGGACGTACTAATAAATGATGCTGACACATACATGCAAGGAAATAAACAAAGCATAGTCATGTGGAGGTTCAATCCAAAAAAATTAAACAGGCAAAATGGAAACGGGCCAGATTAGTAGGGAAGGAAATTCCATTGTTGTTATTGGAGATAACATTTTAAACAACAAATAGTAAATCAAAACAAAGTGGAAAAACTGCATGAAATGGTTTTGGCTGTGTCCTTTGTATATCATGGAAACATCACTGGATAAAATACACAAACCACAAAATCTCAGGGTGAACAATGCCTAATGTCTCCTAGTGACCCCACGGCTCTTACTCCAGCGTCTGCCCACAGCTGCTTTCTCATCTCTGCAGTGTGGATGAAAGTTGGCAAATGTTCAGTGTTGGAGACTGAACCCTATTGTGAACTGACCTCCCCCAGATTGTTCCTGGGAAGAAGATGCAGAGCTGAGGTTTGAACCATTTCAAAGCACCTGGGGGCTAAGGGTGGATGCAGAGAGGCAGCCAGCTCTTACGAGGCTCTGTAAGCATTTTGGGATCCTCCACCCGATCTGAGACTTGAGGCCTTACGCCCATCCTCACTCAGTACATCTCTTTACTCACAGAAGAATGACTGTATATGCAGTACACATTGAGCTCCCACTGCATCCCGGCCATCGAGCTAGGTATTTTCCACATCATCTCGAATCCCATCAATAACTCGGCAAGGTAGCTACCCCCATTTTACAGCAATGAAAGAGTAGAGTCAGAGAAGGTAAGTAGCTTTAATACACTGCTAGAACGCTGTAGGGTTTCCAAGGTAACGCTCTCGATCCTAGGTCAGTTCAACCCCCACCCCATCCCCATCACTGGTGTCATGCAACCCCTCTCTCATGCCCCTCCTCCACAGACTCGAGTTAAAGTGCCAGTGTCTTAGCTAACTGGCACAATAGTACCCCTTTGACAGATGGTCACATCTGATGAGGCTACAAAGAGGGAGGGAAACATGGGAAAATAAATCATTCTTTTTTCTTTTTACTCCCATCTCAACTTCTGGCCAGGGCAGGCTTTATGAGTGTGACCTGTGCGGTCACACAGGGCCTTAGGCTCAGAAGGGTCCCGTGCTTGGTTGAATGTTCTGATGTCACCATCTTGAAATTCTTAATTTTTGAACAAACGGCCCTGCGTTTTCATTATGCATGGGCCCCACGTGTCACATAGCCCATCTGGCAACTGACCCACCTTTTCCCTCTTCAAACCTGAAGTGCCACTCCACACCTTCTTTAAACAACTCATGCATTATAGGTTTCCTATCTATTTCCTTAGAAGTCTACATACCAGAGTCCTGCTTTAATTTTGTTAGAATTAAAGCAGGAGGAACATGTAGACCTTCTCTACCTCCGACAGGCTGCAAGTCTTAGAGTTGAACTACTGCCTTTTTGCGTAAAACACACAGTCAAGGCTTACAGGCCAACTTCCGTACAAATACCACTAATTCGAGCTCATTCAACCGACACGGTGACATCCGTAAACCTAAAAGGCAGAATGTTCAATTTACTTAATAATGGTCAGAAATATCATAAGCCTTATGAGCTCTCTGAGGAGTTTTGAAGAACTGTCAATCTAAAACACCTGATCTCCACAACAGAATCTTTTTTTGAATCACTGGATGGTGAGATCATTTTTAAGTTGGAGATGGGATGAGAAAGGAAACTGTGTGTATAGAGAGGCGCAGATCTGATCAGAGAACACAGCAGCAAGTTTTTGCTCAAAAATTTAAAATACAATTGCTTGAGAACTGTTTTTTTCTAAATGTAGAAGAATTGTGATTACCTACTGCAAGAGAAGGAAAACAAGAACCAGGAAGACAAGCCTGATGGGACAGAAGAGAGATGCTTGGGCTGGACACTGAGATACAATGTGCGGATGAGAAAAGTCCTGGAAGTGCTTGAGGTCACTTTCCATCAAAGGCTGGAGCCCCGGCATTTCTACCAAAGTTGAAAGGCCTTTTAGTAATATGTTTTAAGTTAGGTTAAATCCAAAAGTCATTCTAATCAATATCTATAAATTCTAACTGTCTTACAAGAAATTGATAACAGAAATTGGTGAAACTAGTAATTTGATTATATATGAATGATAAAAAATTATATGATTATTATCATTGAGAAAGTATTTCCTTAAATACATTTTTATATTTAAAATTTATGTTTTTAAGGTCTGTACTTTCATTTTAAAATATGTATTACACTATGCTTATGATATAATATGTATAATATATAATAGTAGCATTTCTCCACCCTGGGAGGTTTAGCTCAGTGGTTGGAACATCGGCCTGCGGACCAGAGAGTCCTGGGTTTGGTTCCCGCTAGGGGCACGTACCAAAAAAATAATAATAATAGCATTTCTCCCATTCCTTCAAAAATAATCATTGACTGATGGCCATCACATTTTTTATGGTCATAACAGAGGACCCAGTTGACAGCTTCATCTCCTAAATGATCATTAAGTACCAAAAGTAAATGAGCAGCTTCTCAGGGATAATCTTAAAATCATAATTTCTTTTTTTTGATACATGTCCTTGTGGGAACCAAACCCGGGACTCTCTGGTCCACTGGCCGACGCTCCAACCGCTGAGCCAAACCAGCCAGGGCTTAAAATCATAATATTAAGTGACAATTTAAGAACATAAAAATTTAACATTATTAGAGTCTGTTCTTATCATTTGGTAAAAATTAGCCAAAACTCCCATGA